TTCTGTACAGCGAAAGAGCATAGCATCCAAAACAGATATCACAAAATCTTGGACTTAATATCTACGAGTACCTATAATAATTTTTTATTTAAAAATTCTAAAGATCGTTACCTTGAAGTTAAACTGAACTTACCGAAATAATAGGAGTAGAGCATTGAGAAAGGTTTGAAAGTTATTATGCAACGTCAGCTGACTATTAGCATCATCGATTGCAATATTTCCGAATACCTTAATACAAATTTTAAAAGATCTCATTTTTAATAAATAAAAATAACTTTTTACCATGACCTAAAATAAATGTTTAATTTGGCTAATGTTATTATAGAATGTACTCCGTGAATGACAAGTTTACATTTATTTAATAACATTTTAATAAAAATAAAAGGAATAAATAATTAAACTAAAGAATCTTTTAGTAAGTGAATGAAAATAATTTGGTATGATCTGAATGTATTAATAAGCTTTAATAAAGATACAATACAAATTTCTTGACCTGTATTATTTAAATTTATTTATCAAAATTTCCTTTTAATCAGAATTCACTGTCTCCAATGTTTTAACTATAGCAAGAGTCTAGTTTAAAAATTCAAATTGCATGAACATTGAATATTTCTAGCCATTCTTCACAACAATAACGTATATGACTTGTTCTGGAGTAATAAATAATATATACTGACGTGCACTTTGTTATTAATTGTTGTATGCTTCTGTGTTTTATTCAATACAAAAAATTATATTATGATATAATTCGTTTTCACCTTAATTTTGGGTTGGAGATAGTCTGAGTTAATGGTCATAAATACATATACGAGTACATAATTAATTTAAGCTTATAAAATTAGGCAAAAAATATCAATATATATGATTTAAATTAATATTTAAGCAGCAAAACCTGTTCCGCTTATGACAATATTAATTAGTTAAATAATGAAGCCCATTGCGAAATTAATTATTAAGTATCTTTGTGATATACACTTACTGGTTAATTAAGCAATTAAATATATTTTTTAGCCTTTTGGAATACTTTGTTTTATAGATAATTTGTAAACTTAAATGTGTGCACTAAAGCACTAAGCATACACTATAGAGTTAACTTTGCCTATAATATTTTTTTGTTTACAAATAAGAAATTTACAAACCTGCATTCCAATAATGGCAAAAATAAAAAACAGCATTGCAATGAGCAGGCAGACATATGGAAGTGCTTTGAAAGATTGAAGAAATGTCCATAAAAGTATGCGAATTGTATATCCTTGTCTTAACAGTTTTACAAGTCTGGCAGCTCTGAAAAGCCGAAGAAATCCTATGCTGAAAATGGTTGAGTCCTATAAAATTGTAAAACAAAATATATCACAAATTAATATGGCAATACAAAAATATTTTTTTGATTCTTTTAATCTATGAGAAATGCTAAACTTTATCGTATGTAGTTTCAAATGATCTCGGATAAAGCCGCTACCAAAATTAAAATGTATAAGATATATTCACGGTGCTTTTCAAATAAGAACTGGACTTTAATAAATACTTTTGGTGGCAGTAAAATTGCTAACGTTTAAACCATTGAAAGCTTTAGAATATCATTCATTAAAAAGGAATGCTTATACTTTTAATATTAAGAAAATGTACTTATTATTATGCATAATTTAAGGGAACTAAATCATTAAACAAAGTTAACTTCTCATCACTAATAGATCTCCGTGACAATTTACATCTTTTTCTGGTATCAAATCTTGTGATTTTGCATTTCTTAGTTTAATTTCTTTAATAAACTTTATTCTTTGCAGAAATGATGCCAATTATTTTGCGTATATTCATTTCCATTCAACCTTGATACTTTCGATACTTTGAGTAATTTGAAATAGTCACCTACTACTGATATGGGTAACTTTAGAAACTACCAGTATTTGTGGTATAAGAATAGGTGAGAATCTCTCCACTAAACACAACCATGTATCATATTCCTCCTAAAAGGGGTTATGGGACAAATGCTAGGTAAAAACTGTAGTCAATTCCGAATGAGGTAAGCTTTTTGAGGGCAATAAAATGTAAAATCCAGTGAAATCGTGAGTCCTACATATCATGTTGAGGGTTAAAACTCAACTATCATTCCTTAAATACCTTAAGAGACATAAAATGACTAAGTTTCTATTACTTTCTGAGTACAGCTTTGAAAACTTAGTTTATCTATGTAAGTGTGTACGAATCAATGATTTCAAAGAGGTTTATTAAATGAGAACTATTTATGAAGTATGAAGCTTACTTAAAAGAAACAAATCCGATTTTTCCTATTGTATTTATAAACAATAATCTAGAATTTGCGACTATATAATAAAAAACATCGGGCAAATTATGGATAATATTTATTTAATGGTATTAATACAAGTTTAATTTCAGCTTTTAATATATAACGGAATAAAAATTCGTTATATGCATTCTAACTTTATTTTTATTTGCTAAAATAACCCTACAGTGCATGTCTTAGTCACACTGTTAAATGCAGTGCTTACCAATATAAAAAGCATAGTAATATTTAAAATAATATATAAAAACTTTATTACTTCTATTATTATTACAGTCTATAATAGCCAAGATTAATTATCTATGAATGACAGCTTTTTTATACTTTTTAATAGTGTAATTAAAAACACATAAATAACAATCAACTTTGCTTGATTTATATCAATTACCCAAATAGCTCGTTTACTTAAGGCGTAAAGGTTACAGCCTGGTTAAGAAATGCGAGAAATTAAGAGTTAAATTTAATAAATTCTTTTAAATACTATAGTAGATGAAGTTGATCATTTAATGATTATGCTCTAAACTTAATAACCAGGCATTTTAACCAACATAGCCAAAGAAAAAAGATATTTATGGTAAATTATTGTAGTAGTTTTAAAGTTTTATTC